ACCAATGAATATTGGGGGATCTTCTTATCATTTGTAATTAGAATATCATGTGCTTTTTGGTAAATGTATATCTTGAGCAAAGCAGAAACATTCTACGCATTAGAACAGTATATTAGAATATAGCTGAGAGTAACATCTGATTCTTGTAAACATGGAAAGTTATTGAACTGTTTTCTTGTGGAATAATTGTGTGGTTATTAAGAGAGAAAAATCAAACAACGTTGAAGTTCAAAATCATTTAATCCCAGTCCTGTGGCCTCTGGCTGAAATTTTATCAAAGTTCTCACATGCTTAGCCACATTCTTTGACCACATAGTACATTACCTGAAGTCTCTCATAAGGAGTCTTCTGTGAGCCTAAGGTATGACACTGATTGAGTTTTTCCACAATGGCACAATGTCAAAGTGTCTCTTATTACTTAATTGCTATCTTTTGTCATTAGCAAACTTGAATCCTAATGTCAAAACTTGCATTGATATGGTAATATCATCAGGCATCAGGTCACAGCACTAAAATATCTACTATGGCTTTGGTATAAAACTTAGATGTTAGATTTCTGAATTTCATAGAGGCCTTTAGTGAGTCTTTAGGTTATGTGCTGTGTTCCACTTTCTTATTCTAAGTTAGCACACAAGTCTTACTGTATTTTAGGCCCCAAGTTATTTGGGGTTGATAGTAGCCAGTGTCTTCATCATATAAAGTTTACCTGAAGTTCTCTTAGGTGAAGCAGAATATCTGTCAAGGACAGCCTTCATCACGAAATGTAATTCAACCCTGAAAAAAACATATTTCACTTTTAAATCAAGAAGATTTCCTACATATAAATTAGGCCCATTCTGGAGCATTATTGACTGTTTCTTTGATAGAAGACATTTGATTTCAAATATTTTACAGTGATCTTAAATTTAATCAGTATAGTGGATTACTAACCTCGGTTCAAATACTCTGAGTAATGGTGTTGATCTGTTTACAGGTCATTAGGAGTGTTTATCAGAATTCAGAAAGGTGTGTTCATAAAAAACTTATTAATTGTATTAATTGCATTAACTTGTTTCTGTAGAATCACAGCCATGTTATAAATCAAAAATATTTCAACACACAGGCCCAGATGCTTATTACTGGGATTTTTCTGAATATGATTCATTTCAGGGCAAATATAAAAATGATTTCTTTAAAAAGTCATTTTCTATAAAATATAATTTTTACTTTCTAAGGTATTTCAGAATTTTTACTGAGTTAAAATATGCACTTAATAAAGAGAAATGCCCTAATATCATGAGTTTAAGAATTATTATACTGCTTTCTCCTTTATTTTGTTTATTACATGTTACTGTTGTTTTAATATTGACTTGTTGACATGTACCACGAGTATGTTTTTGAAATACAAATATCACAAGAGCAAATTAGTTTCTTATGACACATAAGGCTTTGATAAGATACAAATACTCTGGTTTCTCTTCAGATTGTAGAAGTCTTTCACCTTTTTTGAAAAGATGCAAATTTGTTACACATCTGCACTTTGTCTTATAGTGTTCCCTATACACACAAAGAGAAATAATTTTGCACAGTTATGTTGGGAAGCTATTTAAACTCATATTTCTATCTCTGTTTGTAATCTAAGTATAAGCATTTTACATTTTTTAATGATACAAATGTGTTTGTATTACCAACCTTTTGTGAAATATCTTGTCATAATATGTATTCATTAGCAGTTAGTGATAACTTGAAAACATTGCAGAAAATTTTATGAATTATAAATCTCTCCCAATTTTTGTAGTACTATGACAAATTAGGATGACAAAGACTTATTTGCAAAATAGAGCAACCTTGTGTTAGAAAATAGGAGTGACTTGTGTAAGGTTCTTCATCTTTGTAGGATCAGAATTTCAAATGGAAGATTTTGGTGTTAGAATATCTGCTCTAATGCAATGTATGATACTTGTAAATATCTTGTAAATGTTGACTAGAATACATTTATAGTGTCTGCTAGCTTTATCAAGTACATTAGACCATACAAAACATCAAAACACTGGAGTAAATATGAATGTCGTGAGGAAAGTAATTTCTTCTATTTTATTTTAAAAAATAAATAGAGCTCATTGCTCCTGTGATAGCATTAGTTAATTCATTTTTCTGAACATTCAGGGCACTAGTTCACAGATGTTGATTATTATAACTCTGTGTCAGTGATCTGAACCATAAACTTTAGCCACAATTGCAAAAGGCCTCATTTATTTGAGCATTCTGTATCTTTCTCTCTCTCTCCTTCTCTGTCTCTGTCTCTCTGTCTCTCTCTGTGTGTCTCTCCCGGTGTGATGGTACTGGGGATTCAACCCAGGGCCTTATATACACTAGGAAGCCCTCTATCACTAAGCCATACTCACCAGCCCTGTTAATATTTTTAGTGTGTGTCCTTGTAACATTCATGTTTTTCTTGCATTCAGTTTATCACATAAAGTTAATTTTCTAACACTGATTTTCTATGTTTCTAACTAGACCATATATCTAGTCTCACTTCCTTTAAAAATTTGGACTCTATATTATAGAACTCTTTGTATGTTAGCAGAAATTCAAATTACATCTATGTGTAAGCACACATACACAACTAAAAAAAAAAAAAAATCCATGGATGAATGAGAAATTCATCCAGATATCTCATAGCCAAAATGAACCGTTGGGACTGGGGATTTAGCTCAGGGGCACAGCGTCTGCCTGGAAAGCATAAAGTTGTGAGTTAGATTCCCAGTACCAGAAAAAAAACAAAAAAACAAAAACAAACAAAAAAAAAAAAACCCAACAAAATGAACTGTAATTTTAAAACTGCCAAGAATGAAATATAAATGTTAATTTCAGTAGAAGTTATAAAATTTAAGAATTTGATTAATCCCATAGAAAGCAGAAATAGGATAAGCTTCAGTACTATTTATATAATGTTTCTTAAATGGATTAAAAGTTATCTATTAAATAGATAACTATTTTAAAATGCAAGAATTAAAAATGCAAGAATTTCTATAACCTAAGACATACTATAATTAAAAGTTAAAAATAGGGGCTGGGGATTTAGCTCAGCGGCAAACTGCCTGCCTGGCAAGTGCAAGGTCGTGAGTTCGGTTCCCGGTACCGGAGAAAAACCAAAAAAAAAAAGTTAAAAATAAAATAATGCAACAAAGTAATCTTCAAAGTATAAATACTGACAATGAGCCCTTGCATTATTATAAACTCGTGTATTTATTCACTCAAAAGATACTCATTGCGTGCCGTAGCACTGACTACCAGAGGCTCCATCCTCTTAACGAGCTTTAACGTCACTGGAAAAAATAGCATTTAGAAAAACAAATGAGCAACATACTTCAGATTACAGGAAATCCTTAAAGGAAATGAACAGACAGCTAAGATGGCAACCATTCTGGGTGGGGTGGTTGGGAAGGGATTTTCAGAGGAGGAGCTGTTGTCCAAAAGATCAGTGGAGAGGACTTTGTGAAGAGCGGGAAGACGTGTTCTAGGCAGAGAGAACAAAAGCAAAGGCTGAAAGGTAATGAGTCAGAATATGGCATGCAATGATACTGGGAAGCAAGCAAAGGGACAGCTTATCCCATGTATAAGGCCATATAGCCAGGGGCTTGGATTTTCTTGTGTAAACCACTAGAAATTGTAATTAGAGGATGAACAGAATCTAATTTTTTGTGGGGGACAATTGGATAGGCTGGGAGATGAAGCCACTCTGCTGACTTCGATGAGAAGCTCTGGGGACAGACTGTGAAGGAGGAAGTGGAGATGGAAAGAGGCAGAGGAGCCAACAGGACTTGCTGAAATTAAACAAGGAATCGGGATAAACATTGGACCTAGGATACTTACTTCTTACTAAAAAAAGAACGAAGCGGAAATATTAGTGGAAGAGGAATCAGCTCAAAGAGGCAGGAACTGTTTGCATTAAGTTATTCACATAGTCCCAGTCTACACGAGGGGTGAGACTCTCATACCCAAGTAAGGAATAGACTCAGTTCACTTGGATTTCTGGTAGGTATAAACTGGATTTCAGCAGATGTAAAATTTCCTACATACTGAGCACGCTGATGGATTCTTTACATAAAACTGAAATTGATAGTTGAAATTTGCATCTACATCTCTTGTGTTCTAGGACTGTACTTTCTTTCATGATGTTGTGTTGTCTTATTGCTCAGAACACACATATTGATAAATCATTTAAAACTGTATGTGTTTGACTCCTAGTACAGCATCAGTAGAAACATTAGTGAAAAATGATGACAGAGAAATGTAATGACAAAATAAAGGGAAGTGGTCATTTCTTCCTGATAAAATAATAGAAGTACAAAGCATTCTGCATAAACATCTCAGCCAGCCCATAGATGGAGACTTGGTAAAGTGTCGGGATGATATCAGATTATGCAGATCAGAACAGCTAAGCTGACAGATAAAAGGCTGATTGTGTGTTTTGTTAAGGTTCTTGGTAATCGTATACTGTGTAGAGATAGATGAAAATGATAGATTAAATATAAAATTAGATTGGATTTCAGCATCTTAAGAAAAAAGAAAACATGTGAAAGGAAAGGACTATTCTTTATCACTTCTCATTTATTTGTGATGTTCACACAATTTCACAATTCACACATTTCACACATTTATCTGTGATGTTCACAAAATAAAGTAAAGGGACATGGCTCCTGGGAGCCACCCCACCTGAAGACATTCTGAAAGCAGGGAACTGCCTACCCAGCACTTTCAGGTGATTTTGACACAGGAGGGCAAAGGGACCATGCTTCGGGAAATACTGATTTAGTCTAGCCTCTTTATTTTACAAATCAGCATGAGACTTGTAAAGAAAACTGATTATTAGTAAGTTATATCACTCCTTTTCATTAGAGCTTAGTGTACATCACAGTCACCTAGAGGGCCAGTTTTGTCCGTCTCAGTACTCAGATGTATTTGTCCAACTCCAGCCATGGGCCTTCTAACAAGACTTATTCCCACTTTTCTTCTAGAATCACAACCACGGCTGCCTGCATGATGGACCTACGGCGGTATCCGCTTGATGAACAAAACTGCACGCTAGAAATCGAAAGCTGTAAGTCTTTCTGAGAAACCAGCTAGACTGAGCTCTGCTTTAAGGCTGTCCCTAGGCAGAGACTTCCGACACTGGCTCACGTCCAGAGGTCCTGCAAATCTTCCCTTAGCTCACAAAGTTTAATGCAGGAAGCACTGACAGCATCTTCCATCAGTAACGCTGCTGCTTTTTGCTCTTGTCCCTAAATACTTAGGACAAATCTTTACCAATGGAATAATTCGGCAATGAAAGGGCCATGCCAGGCACTTGAAATGTGTAATTGGGGCAAATGCTTACAACAGTCTTGAGAAAATCAGTAGAGGTGGAAGCATATCGCAAAATATCCTAGTTGTTTCTGCCTCTTGCCAAACTTTATCTCTTTATAATTATAAAATAAATGTGGCCTCCTAAATTAAAGCATTCATAGAATAGGGACTAATGGACTATTCTGTTATTACGGTTTTGGTTTCAGGCACTGTTTTGGGTGTCTAAAGTTTATATTCTTGTGCAAGTTTGGGGTTGATGTGTGAGTGTGTGTGTGCATCCATGCATGCACATGTGCGTGTGTTCTGCTTCCTGTACTGACTTGTTTTGCAGTGTGGTTTAATTTTCTAGGTCATAGTTTTAATTTCTGTGTTGATTTCATTCTCCGCCCTGTTGGATAGGCTAAAATGCTGATTTTATAACCTGTCAGAGGTAATTCAAGGCAGTGGTTAGAGATGGAGGAGCATTTTAAATCTCTTTTTCTCCATCAGTTATTTGGGATGTTTTTAGACCATAGCCCATCAAGTATTTGGAAGCTGACAACTGTGTATCCAGTTCTCTGGATAATTAGTAGCTGGACTGCTAGAAGAACACTCATAGACTTTGTGAGGAATTTTAGCTGTAGCAAGCACTGTGACTCTAAATCACTACTCTGAGGAAAAAATGCACCATTTAAGACAGATCATGGATATTTTTGCCCATTTCAAAAGGTAGCTTCCAGGGATAATTAAATTTATATGTATTTTAAAGAAACCAATTGTATACTTACATTCCAGATCAGCATTATTTTCAAATTGATCTTAGCCTTACCAAACTAAAGCAATTTGTCAATGAAATCTGTCTATAGGATTTTAATGATTTATTGTATGAAAATATCTTTAGGACAACACTGTCAACGTTGCATTTTCTTGCCTTATGGTACAATTTATAGAACAGTGTTCTTCAAACTCCAAATTGTCTGGCAGGTTCAAATTGCTGGTATCAGGATATTTTGAAAACAGTATGTTTTGTACCACCCATGGATTTTTGTCATAAGAATAGCATGTGAGGTACAGTTGTACTGAAATTTTAAATAGTTGGATATGGAAGAAATGTTTTCACTTATTACATTTCCTTTGAGGTCTTCATATACCTCTCAGGTGAGTAAATCAAGACTTTATTGTTTTTCTTTAATTTTTTTTTTTTTTGGTGCCAAGAATCTAACTCAGGACCTTATACTTGTCAGGCAGGCACTTGTGCCACAGAGCTATATCCCCTGCCCAACAACTTTATTAGTTAAAGGAACTGAAGCCTAAAGACATGGGCAACACCAAAATGTTTCACAATGTTATTAAATTGTAACTTTGACAAGACTATTTAAAAATTAACATGATAATTCATTCTACTTTACATATCTCATTTCAATTCATAGTGACTTGTGAAATGCATATACATTAATTTATATTCTTTATGCATAGGGAAGTGGACACAAAAGGTAGCCTGACTTATCCAATATTATGCAACCTTTGTTGCAAAGTAGCTTTGTGCTGATGACAGGTAATTGACAGCTGAATTACTTTAAGAAAGACACTAATATTAGAGACCAGATTAACAGATCCCTATCCTAAAGGAACCTATTCTGCATATTAAGAACATAGCCTGTCTTTAAGGGAAATTTGGAATTACATTTACCAAGAGAGAAAATCATTATTATAAAGAATGAACTATGGCATTGCATTAATAATATATGTGATTACCAGTCTTTGTTATTATGAGCAGTTTGCTAAGTATATTAAAATAAGCATAACTTCCTGTCTCTTCACTAGTTCCCAGGTAATGCCCAACTTGCTTTTTTTTTTTTTTTGTCTTTTTGAGACAGGGTCTTGCTATGCAGTTCAGGCTGGCCTTGAGCTCACTTTGTCACCCAGGCTGGTCTCGAACTCACAACAATCTTCCTGCCTCAGCCTCCTGAGTCTGGCATTATAGGCATGTACCACCATGCCCGGCTTCTTTTTCTTTTCTTTTATGCCCAACGTTCTAACTGTTTATCTACCTCTTTAAGCAAACCCTATGCATTCATTCTCTGTTTCTTCCTCCTCCTCTCACTCTTTCTCTTTGTCTTCTCTTCTCTGTTTTCTCTTCCTTTTTCCCTCTTCCTTTCCTCTCACAAGGAAAAATGGCCTGAATAACAGCATTGCTGAATCATTAGTACCTTGCAAAATATATTAGCAGTACTGCTTTGCTTTCAGAGAAGATAACAAAACCTGATTCTAAGAGGCTTGAAAAGGGGAACTTTAGAAATGAGTTTATTGCTTTTACTAATTCATTTAGTTAGGAATTTACTCATTCATTAAATTTTTTGAGTGCTTTATTTACAAGGTATCTTAATAAGCTTCAGAGATATAATTGGAATAATAGACAATATTCTTGCCATTTTCATTAGGTCAAAGCAGAAAGATATAATGTAAATAAACACAGTGATGAATATAAAATTGCATTAGTGATGAGTCTGCCAAGATAAATATTTTATCTTAAAAGCTATTTAGAGTATGCCTTGTTATAAACATGCTGAGGATTCTAGGTAATTAGTGTATCAGTCAGGGTTTACTAGAGAAACAGATCTAACACAAAATATACAAATGTATATGAAATTACAAGTTTGGCTTACAATGGTCAGCCATAGAGTTGGATGAGGAAGTGTGCAGTGGGTGGAGATTGAAGAGCCCATTCCAAGGCCTGGAGCTCACTGCAATGTCCTTGCCAGTCAGTGTCAGGAAGCTGTGATGGAATGGTCTATGACAGAATGCTGAAAAATCTACTATCAAGGCTGAAGAATCTACACCAGAAGACTGCACAGTCCCAGGCAGAAGCCAAACAGTCTGCACCAGAAGCCAGGTGACCAAACTGAAGGCGAAGACTGGAGCACCTCCAAAGAACCAGCAATCAGTCTTTCCTCATTTCCCCTTTACTGTATTCAGCCTACCCACCCTGGGGTGGGAGACCTTTGCACCCATACCATCTCCCTGCCCTCCTCTTGCACAGGCTCAGGATGAAAACAAAGTAAGGACCCTGGCTCCCTGCTGAGTCACATAGTTAACCTTGTAAACTCAAGTCGACACAATGAACAACATCCTAGAGATAAGGGCATGTCCTTTTCACCCCAGGATGTAGAATTGCTGGGTCACTTAGTTAAGCTTCTGGACTGCTCAAGTTGACACAATGTATCAACTATAACAATCATGTAAACTATATTTACTTTATTACTTTTCTTAAATAGAGAGGATAAGGAGGTCCTACACAATTGATGGGATTTGCAGAATTAAATGACATTTATCTCTAGGAAAAATAAATTGCTAAAATACAAAGGAGAATCCATTCCAAGCTATTTCCAATCCTGTCTCTTAGTGCTGCCTTTAATCTATATGCTCTACTTATCTTCATATTCAGAGTCAACTCATCACATTTTGTCTATGTAGCATGATATATACATATATAATGATATAGATCGATCAATATATAGGTAGCTGGATAGATAATGTTTTTCTTTACCTTACTCTGAACTTTTCAGTACAGATTGGGTTAAAGATATTAGAATACTTTCCCATATTTCTAGGGTAATGTCATGCTAAAAGCACCAAATACCGACTAGGCTAAAAAACAAAGTTCTTTTGAATGTTCTCATTTAGGGATGAATTCTATTTTTTTGTTTGTTTGTTTTTTTTCTCCGGTACCGAGAACCGAACTCACGACCTTGCGCTTGCCAGGCAGGCGCTCTTGCCGCTGAGCTAAATCCCCAGCCCCGATGAATTCTATTTTAAAGAGAAAAAAATAACAAAATAACAACAATGAAGACAAAAACAAAACAATACAAAAACAATAAAAATGATACAGGATTTCAAAACAAGATGATAGGAATTAACAATGGTTGTTACATTACATACTGTTATCTTCAACAAAGTTGCTCACTGTAGAAATGTTGAATTGTTCCAAGCTTGCCAATGCTTCACATTTCCAGGGCTGTCAAATATAATTTATGACTGTTAGTACAAGTCAAAGATTCATTTAAACAGAGTTCTGATCACACCATCATAAGGACACAGCATGATATTGTACTGTGGGGTCATTTAGTATATTCTGTTCAGGAAGAAAAGATAGTGAAGATGAGGTAGATTACAGACTTTTGAAATGTATATAGTCAGGGGATTACCCTGTCATGTTCTGCACCAACTTGGCTGGAAGGAAAGATAGAATTCTGTCAACTGGACCCACTGATAGACTGCCCAAGTTACTCAAAACTCAAAGGTTCTTTTCTTCTTTTTTTTTTTTTTTTTTTTTTTTGGTTTATGTGCTTTTATTTCATCCCTTCTCTGGGTGTTACACTGGCAGCCTCGTGTCTTAGAGAATTAAGAGTAGGTTTAGAATGCTCCTGCTCTGCATTGTTGGGTTTTTTGGTCAGTTCCAGCCTTTTTGAGATACATAATGAAGCCCTAAAGTGTAGAACTTTCCCAGCAGCTCTCTTGTAGGCAACTTCTTTAGGCTATGCCAAGGTTAACTCAGACTATCAGGCATCTTCTCTCAAGATCTTCAAAAATATCCCATACCCTGACCTTTTGGACCATAGCAGACACCAATTTTTGCTGGCTTCTCAAATGCACTGCTTATGTAAATGACATCAAGAATGTCATCCTTACTCAGTCCTCAATTTCCTCATGGGTAAAATGAGGGTACTAATGTGTACCTCATAAAGTTAGTATAAGATTAAAATGAAGTAACATTTT